CAAGTCAAGCATACGGCCATGCCACAGCAGTGGTGGGAGGGCCAGGGAGTGGAGGATGCAGGTGCATATGTGGCAAGGTTCCTGGAAAAGGGGCTGGAAGGGAAAGGGGCAGAAGATAGAGGAAGGAGCTGGAGCTTCACAGGTACTGCCTGGGGGCTGTGGCAGCCCTCCCCACCCTACACATGCTAGCCTCTCACATGGCACCAAGGCAGTACACCCACAGTTCAGACTGATGCTCAGCCCCCTTGGGCGTCCCTCTTCTCTGGTCACACTGTCTTCCAACCTGCTCTGCAGGGCCACCCCTTGTCTTGGAGAGCCCTATGCAACAGCCACCAGGCCCGATAGTCAACAAACACTGCTTGAACCAGGAGGGTGAAGCTAAAAGGGATAAATGGCTGGAGGGAGTGCCAGAGTCCCCTCTGGGCAGTGAGAAAGCCCAGGACCCTCTGAAGGGACCTGGGGGAAGCAGGGAGGGCAGGCAGCCGGATATCAGTGGCCATAGATTTACAAGTCTAAGAGTGGAGCATCAGCTGGTGGGGGTGGGGGAGGTGCAGGTCGCATAGGTGAGGCTGGGCCCTTCCTGCTTGGAAAGGCAGAAGAGAGCAGGCACTGTCGTCCCCTTGGCCAAATAGCATAGGCGACCCCTAGGAGCAATAGGCCAAGGTGCGTGAGCCCACTTGCTGGCTATGGTCCTTCAGCTGGGGCCAGAGACACTGCCTTCAGTCACATGCCAGCAGGTACGACAGTACCTGGGAGGGAGGCAAGACCTCATCTCTACTTAAAACAAAAACAAAAAAACAGAAACAAATTAGCCAGGTGTGTGAGGCAGGAGGATCGCTTGAGCCCAGGAGCTTGAGGCTGCAGTGAGCCATGACTGTGCCACTGCACTCCAGCCTTGGCAACAGAGCAAGACCATGTCTTAAAAAAAGAAAAAATTGGGGAAGATGGGAAGGAGGGCGATCACATCTTGATTTTCTCTAAACTTTAATTGAAATTTAGCTTTTCCTTCCATGATGAATGTTGCTAGGAACAAACCTCATTAGCGTTAGCAGCACCTGTTACTTTGTTACCACCAGAAATCACAGATATTTTCATATTACACTGCAGCTGTTGCAGGCATCTTGAGATATCATTTTTGCTCATCACTGCCTCAAAATTATAGTAATTAGACCCAACTTTGGATCTTGTTATTTAATGTGCCAATAAAGCATATCATGTAATATCACAAATATTTCCATAAACTTTTGATATTTATTTCCATTGATCTCTGTATTTTATTTTGTGCACTTAAAAAATCTATTCTGAGAAGTCCGTAGGCTTCCTCAGATATCAAAGACGTCCATGGCACAAAAAGGCTAAGGATGCTGGGGTCTAACCCAGAGTAGGTTTGCTGCCAAAGTGAGGTCCTGGAAGTATTCAAATACAAAGAAATGTGTTTTTACAATTTTCCATGAGGCACTCTCTCTTCACCTCCCTTTCAGGTTGGATACTTTTATGGGCAGAACCTGATCATTTTCCTAAGAAGAAAAAGGCTTGTACAAAAGGGGGCAGAATCCAGGATGGCTGTAGGCCAAAAGTGAAGATTCCAAAGTCAGACAAATAAGGGGGGTATCTCTTTATACTCAGTAGAAATGTGGAGCTGAGAAGGGGTGAGGCCCAGGTGAGCTCCATGAAGAAGGGTTGGGATAGACTCCCTCTGACAGGCAGAGGTTGCAATGAGCTGAGATTGTACCACTGCACTCCAGCCTGGGTGACAAAGCAAGACCCTGTCTCAAAAATAGAATTAAATAAATAAATAAAGAGTCTTCCCTAGAGCTCTTTAGTTATTTACAACATTTTACAAAACAATGTAGGTAAAGAATAAGGCCAATCTATAATCAGAGAAACAAAGTTTACAGCTGCCTAGGTTATAGCTGCCTGTTTTTATGACTCAAGTGTTATAATCACATTCCTTGGTTGAGACTATTTTAAAGTTCCAACAATTCATATTTGGAGTTATTTTCTTTTTCTTTTTTAAAAAATTGAGACAAGGTCTTTCTCCATTGCCCAGGCTGAATTGCAGTGGCATGATCTCAGCTCACTGCAGCCTCTGTGAGATAAAGTGATCCTCCTGCTTCAACCTCCCCAGTAGCTGGGACCTCAGATGTGAGCCACCATACCCACCTAATTTTTAAAATTATTTGTAGAAACTGGTTTTCACCCTGTTGCCCAGGCTAGTCTTGAACTCCTGAGCTCAAGCAGTCCTCCCAATTCAGCCTCTCAAAGTGCTGGGATTACAGGCATGAGCCATCGTGTACAGCCAGAGTTACTTATTTTACCAGTGGAAAGTTTCTTTGAGCCAAGTTTGAGAAGTGCAACCCTGAAGACATAGATTTAAGTTTCCTTGAATATATGCTCCAACTAGAAGCAGTTACAATTGGTTTTGTTTTGTTTTTTGGGTTTTTATTGAGACAGTGTTTTGCTGTTGTCCAAGCTGGAGTGCAGTGGCATGATCATGACTCACTGCAGCTTGACCAGCCGGGCTCAAGCAATCCTCCCTCCTCAGCCTCCTAAGTAGCTGGGACTACAGGCTCACACCGCTACTCCTGGCTAATTTTTGTATTTTTTGTAGAGTTAGGGTTTCACCATATTGCCCAGGCTGGTCTTGAACCCATGGGCTCAAGCAGTCTACCCACCTCAGCCTCTAAAAGTGCTGGGATTACAGGGAAGAGCCACCAAACCTGGCCTTAAGTGGGTTTTTAAAAGAGAAGAGAAGGAGCAGTTCTTAAATTGTTTATCAAGAATTTACATTGGTTTATTAAAATAACATAAGCTATTTATTGGCTATATGTTGCTCTTTGTATCAGAAATTCCAGGAACCTGGAGATAGTGAATGAGGGTACATTGTGCAACTTGTGGTAACATTTTAGGTAATTTGGGCCAGGCACTGTGGCTAACACCTGTAATCCTAGCATTTTGGGAGGCTGAGGCGGCAGGATCACTTGAGGTCAGGAGTTCAAGACCAGCCTGGCCAATATGGTGAAACCCCATCTCTACTAAAAATACAAAAATTAGCCAGGCGTGGTGGTGTGCACATGTAGTCCCATCTATTCAGGAAACTAAGGCAGGTGAATTACTTGAACCTGGGAAGGAGAGGTTGCAGTGAGTTGAGATTGCAGCATTATACTCCAGCCTGGGCATTGCAGCTAGACTTTGTCAAACAAACAAACAAACAAGGCCGGAAGCAGTAGCTCACACCTGTAATCCTAGTACTTTGGGAGGCCAATGGGGGTGGATCATAAGGTCAGGAGTTCAAGACTAGCCTGGCCAAGATAGTGAAACATTGTCTCTGCTAAAAATATAAAAATTAGCTGGGCGTGGTGGCCTGTGCCTATAATCCCAGCTACTCAGGAGGCTGAGGCAGAGAATTGCTTGAACCTGGAAGGCAGAGGTTGCAGCTAGTTGAGATTGTGCCACTGCACTCCAGCCTAGGCAACAGTGTGAGACTCTGTCTCAAAAAAAAAAAAAAAAAGGAAAAGAAAAAAACAAAACTCAAACATTTTAGGTAATTTGTCAGCTAGTCTGGAAACTACAGGGAAAGAAATAAAAAACGAAAATGCCTTTAAACAATTAACCCTAGACATGGGTGGGAGAATGAGAGTTATATCTTATTCTCCTGTCACTCTGGGTCTAATAAATTTTACATACCTCACATTTTCCAGACTGCTCTGAGCTACTTTTCTTTCTCATAGTCATTCTATTTTCTCCAACTTAAAGTTGTAAGATCTCAAAAAAAAATCTCAAAAACTAAAGTTATAAGATTTCTTACTTAATCAAGTAAAGAATATTTTGTAAATCTTACAGTGCAGCCAACATTTTTCTGTTTATCTCTCATCCTTTAAAGTATGCCATTTCCAGGCCAGGCATGGTGGCTCATGCCTGTAATTCTAGCACTTTGGGAGGCCAAGGCAGGCAGATCACCTGAGGTCAGGAGTTTGAGACCAGCCTGGCCAACATGGTGAAACCCCATCTCTAGTAAAAATACAAAAAATTAGCTGGGCATGGTGATGCGCTCGTGTAGTCCTCAATACTCAGGAGGCTGAGGCAGGAGAATCGCTTGAGCCCAAGAGGCAGAGGTTGCAGTGAGCCAAGATCGCACCACTGTACTCCAGCCTGGGCGACAGAGCAAGACTGCATCTCAAAAAAAAAAAAAAAAGCTCTTTCCATCCTGTCTCTCCTGTTTTTCAGCCCTTTCTCATTTAAGCTTCTTTTTCCTTTTCTCATCACTTACATACTCTTTGATCAAGATCATTCTTGTTCTTGGCTTCAGCTACCACAAATCGTAAACCAGAATTTCCACCCAAAACCATAACCTCACAAAATTTCCACTGAGAAATCCTCAGAAAGCCTTAAAGGCAAGAAATTCAACAGGATCTTATTTCCAAAACTGCCTGTCCAACTATATTACTTAACTAATGGTGTGTCCCAAGCAAATAACTCAATTACCTCCAATGTTTATTCTTAATTTAATCTCTGGAATGTGTCCTTCACCTTCTTCCACCTCTACTGATACTGTCTTACCTCTTACCTGAAATAATGCCACCACCACCTCAATGCCCTTTCTGCATCCATTCTGTTCTCCATCCTTTGAACTGACAGCATAAATGTAAACATTTTTCTAATTCAGAAATATGAACATCTTCCGCATTTCACCCATCATAGAGGTCTTCAGGACTCACTATTTCCTATAAAATAATGTCCACATATTTACATTTACAATCTCATCTCCCTCCAACTCTTTTTATTGGGGGGGGGCCGAATTTTACTCTTGTTGCCCAGGCTGGAGTGCAATGGCGCGATCTTGGCTCACTGCAACCTCTGCCTCCTGGATTCAAGCGATTCTCCTGCCTCAGCCTCCCCAGTAGCTGGGATTATAGTCGCCTGCCACCATGCCCAATTAATTTTTTGTATTTTTACTAGAGGTGGGGTTTCACCATGTTGGCCAGGCTGGTGTCAAACTCCTGACCTGAAGTAATCCATCTGCCTTGACCTCCCAAAGTGCTAGGATTACAGGTGTGAGCCACCAGGCTAGGCCTAAACTCATTTTATAGTCTTGTGCTGGTGAATGTTTAACAACTATATTTCTAGGAGAAAAAGCCTTGCTTTGTTGTAAATACTGTTATCATGGCTGATTTCAAACTACCCTTGTGTACAAAAAGAGTCAAAGTCTATAAAATATTTGAATAGATTTATTCTAAGCCAAATATGAGTGACCATGGCCCATGACACAGTGCTCAGAAGGTTCTGAGAACATGTGCCCAAGGTGGTAGGCATGCAACTTGTTTTATACATTTTAGGGAGGCATGAGTCATCAATCAAATACATTTAAGAAATACACTGGGCCCGTCATGGTGGCTCACGCCTTAATGTCAGCGTTTTGGGAGGCTGAAGTGGGTGGATCACAAGGTCAAGAGTTCAAGATGGTGAACCTTGAACTGACCAACATGGTGAAACCCCATCTGTAAAAGAAAAAATAAATAAACAAACAAAAGAAATACGTTGGTTTGGCCGGGTGCTAAGGCCTGTAATCCCAGCACTTTGGGAGGCCGAGGCGGGCGAATAGTGATTGAGCTCATCCTGGACAACATGATGAAACCCCATCTCTACTAAAAATACAAAAATTAGCCGGTGTGGTGGCACACGCCTGTAATCTCTGGAGCTACTCGGGAGGCTGAAGCAGGGAAATCAATTGAACCCGGGCGGCGGAAGTTGCAGTGAGCCAAGATCGCGCCACTGCACTCCAGCCTGAATGACAGAGCAAGACTCGTCTCAAAGAAAAACAAAACCAAAAAAAACCATTCTGAGGAAATGAAAAAGAGAAGTAGGATGTGGAAAGATAAGTCAGCGACCGGTCAGCGATGGAGGTAGGAACAAGACCAGCGGAAGGAAGGAGGGAGGATTAAGGCCAAGAAGGTTAGCGGATTGGGAGTCAAGGGCCCAGGGACAAGAGAGCTGCTCAGGACCCTGGCGTCAGGGTCGCAGACCTCCCGCCCCCGCCCAGAGCCCGCCTACAGCCGGCGTTGGCCCCGCCCCGCCTCGTGCCGGCCCCGCCCCGCCTCCGCCCTCCCCCGGGTTTCTTAGGTGATGCTGCAGCCAAGATGGCGCCGACGGCAGCTGTGGCGGTCTGAGGGCGATGCTCTGGGTTCTTGGCGGCGGCTGTGGCCTTAGCCCGGGCCTCGAGTCTCTCCCGGTCGTGAGCGATCGGCGCCTCTCTTCCGGCCGGGATAGCCGGGACAGAGGGAAGACGGCCACGAAGAGAGGAGGCAGTGAGCAACAGGACGAGAGCGCGGCGCCTCTCGCCTCGGCACTATGGCAGGGATCATCAAGAAACAAATCCTGAAGCACCTTTCCAGGTCAGTGAGCGCCTTGGGCGTTGGGGCCAGTCCGCCTCCGCCCCAGCCGTAACTGGAGTCAGCCTGCGGCTTCGGGGGCGGCGGCGACTGGTGGCTGTACTGGAGGCGACCTTTGGACTTCCACGCTCCGGCCGGGGCAGAGGTCGCGGCCCCGATTTCTCGTCGCTGGCGGCTCCCGGGGCTGGCCTCACTAGTCGGGCCCTTGACGCGTCCTCTCCCCCGGCTGGCGCGCGGAGGAGCGCGGAGCACGGCGGGCTGGGATTGCTCCCGGCGCGGCGTCTGGGGGCGTCCCGGGTCCTCTCAGAGCGGTACTGCGCGGAGGTTGGAGGTGGCCTGGCGTCACCCAGGTGCCTGGTTGACGTGTTGGGCTCCAACTCGTGCTCGGTGCTCGTTCCCCTTGAAGCAGAGCGGTTCCGTTAACCGAGGGCGTCTGGCGCAGAGTGGACTCTCAGAGGAGGCTGTGTACTCAGTGAAACGTTAACCTTGTGATTGTTCTGAATTTCCCCCACCTTGGCGTTCCTGCTCTGAGGCATCAGAGGGTGTGTCCGTTTGCACTGTTAGGATTTGTTTTATGTAAATAAGCTGAGTTCGCAGCTTTGGCAAGTTCTTTCTGGAGTCATATGAGACCCACAGCATTCTTACTGAACATTTTTTTTTTTTTTTTGGTTTTTGCTCTTTTTCCTCTGAAACTCTAAAATTCAGGGAATTAATCCATCTGTGGTAATTAAACCCAAGACGTCATTCTCTCCATTTCACAACGTGGTTTTAGTCAGAAACATGACTCAGTAAACTGGCAGTTTGTTACTGCTCTTGGCTTCTCCATGTTTGTCTCAAGATACAGGCTAAATGTAGGATCTTGTTCCAAGTTGTTACCAGCAAACTCAAATATCTTGGTTAGGATCCCTTTCTGTTCTATTTGTAAGTTACTTTTAACTAATTTTGGGGAGACACTCGGGTATGATGATAGATTTATATAGTAAACATAATTCTGATTCCCCAAATTGTCTTATACCACAGGTTATGTATTGGGAACAGAATTCCTACTTCTGTGATTCAGCAAATATTTTCCTCATTTATAATATTGAATAAGATATAGCATTTTTTTGAAAGTAGCAAAGTATAGCAGTGAGTGTGTGTGTGTGTGTGTGTGTGTGTGTAGTGTTATTTGAACTCCTGACCATAGGTGATCTGCTCTCCTGGGCCTCCCAAAGTGCTGGGATTACAGGTTTTGAGCCACCACCCCCTCCATGAATATGTATTTCTTAAAGTTATCACTCATTGGAAAGTTTCTTTTAAAAGTATGTATATATGGTCCAATCCTTAACTGTCTTATTTTGGAAGGTTTTATCTATTTTTAATTTATGTCCTCCAGCCTTTCTCATACCCAGCTCCGTAAGAAAATTCAGATCTGCAGAAAATGATTTGAATGCCTATTTTCTCACTCGTCCGGGGATGATGCTGCATAGCTAGTACCATTCTAGATGCGAAGGAGAAAAGTTAATTCAATCAACAAATAGTGCATTAGAGTTTAATTTTTTTTTTTTTTTTTTTTTTTGAGATGGAGTTTCGCTTTTGTTACCCAGGCTGGAGTGCAATGGCGAGATCTCGGCTCACCGCAACCTCCGCCTCCTGGGTTCAGGCAATTCTCCTGCCTCAGCCTCCTGAGTAGCTGGGATTACAGGCACGCGCCACCATGCCCAGCTAATTTTTTGTATCTTTAGTAGAAACGGGGTTTCACCATGTTGACCAGGATGGTCTCGATCTCTTGACCTCGTGATCCACCCGCCTCGGCCTCCCAAAGTGAGTTTAATTCTTTTATAGAACTCCATTTGAGAGGGGCTTTAAAAAATTACCAGCATGCATACCAAAGTATAATTTAAAACTTAAGAACAAAGATGTCATGGCTTACTGCATGAGATGGACAACACCCATATATTGAAAATTGAGTCCTTAGGGTTAGCTTTTATTTTATTATTTTATTTTTTGAGATGGAGTTTCGCTCATTGCCCAGGCTGGAGTGCAATGGCCCGATCTTGGCTCACTGCAACGTCTGCCTCCTGGGTTCAAGCGATTCTCCTGCCTCAGCCTCCTGAGTAGCTGGAATTACAAGCATGCACCACCACGCCTGGCTAATTTTGTATTTTTAGTAGAGGTGGGGTTCCTCCATGTTGGTCAGGCAGGTCTTGAACTCCCAACCTCAGGTGATCCACCCGTGTTGGCCTTCCAAAGTGCTGGGATTACAGGCCGGCACCCAGTTCTTAGGGTTAGTTTTAAAATCTGCATGATTTCTAATAGCTGTGTGGTAAATAGTATGAGGGTTTTTTTTTTTTTTTTCAGAGATGAGTTTTGGGACCCTTGAGTTTTCATTTATTTCATATTTCGAAACATCCTTACCTCAGGTGACTAAAGAGTTTAAAATTCTTCGTTTTGTTAATCTTACTGCTAATTGTTGTCATCCACAAAAAAATAGTTATTCATAAATCTAAAGGCAGCTCATAATTGACAAAACAAGGCAGGTGTTGTGATAAAGTATAGTTACTCAGGTAGGAATGAACTTTTGAAATTACCTGGTTCAAGTTTAATTTTTTTTTTTTTCTTTTTTTGAGGCAGAGTTTCACTCTTGTTACCCAGGCTGGAGTGCAATGGCGTGATCTCGGCTCACCGCAACCTCCACCTCCTGGGTTCAAGCAATTCTTCTGCCTTAGCCTCCCGAGTAGCTGGGACTACAGGCATGCGCCACCATGCCCAGCTAATTTTTGTATTTTTAGTAGAGACGGGGTCTTTCTCCACTTGAATGTAAACTCTATGAGAGCAGGGATTTTTGTCTTGAGACTGGCATAAAGTATGTACTCAACAAACTATTTGTTGCATGAATGGATATGTAACACGAATGAGCTTACTCTCCCTTAATGTTGCTCTTTTTTTTTTTTTTTTTAACTGAGGCAAGACTACTGCCAATATTCTTTTTTTTGAGACAAGTATCTCACTCACCCAGGCTGGAGTGCAGTGGCATGATCTCTCAGCTCACTGCAACCTCTGCCTCCCGGATTCAAGTGATTCTCCTGCCTCAGCCTCCCGAGTAGCTGGGATTATAGGCATGTGCCACCACACCTGGCTAATTTTTCTATCTTTAGTAGAGATGAGTTTCACCATTTTGGCCAGGCTGGGCTTGAACTCCTGACATCGTGATCCACCTACCTCAGCCTTTCAGAGTGTTGGGATTATAGGCATGAGCCACTGTGCCTGGCTTACTGCCAATATTCTTATAGATTTGAGCATGACCGGTTTCCTGTGGCTTTAGGAGGCAGTGAGTAATTGAATCATTAAATAAATGTGGTGCCTTTGGAGTCCTGGAAAATAAGAAGGAAAATGACCTAGTTCTTAGAGAGGTTTGTATGAGGAGTCAATAAGGAGGAAGACTATGAACCAACATGAGAAAAAGCTCTCGCTCTTAGCCTTGAGGTTGAAATATAGTGTAGTTGCAAGATTAAAACCATCTTTGCCTGGTTGAAGGGACTGGAGAAGCTAGTATATTGGAAAAGTATGAAAGAGGAATTGTTCTTAAGAGATTAAGAAATACTTAAGTCAATGCTAAACTATTTGAGAAGTGTAAATCTAGGTACTTGTTTCTTGCTTAATTGTTAGTTTGTATTCCAGGCATCTCTTGAGTTAATAAAAGGTTTATCTACTTGAAGAATCTGGAATGAGGACAAGGAGCGTCTTGGTGGGACTGGAGGGAGGTTAGAGTAGTGACATTTTTCCGAAGTGAAACAGAGAAAGCTTTTGAAGGAGAAACTGCCCAGATCTTTCAAACTGTAATAGGACCGAATGTATTTTGGGAGGATTTTCTAGACTAGTTTTTCACACAGGAATAGAAAGTTCTAAAGGAAAGTCATAACAAAAGTGAGAAAGGAAATAAGAGCAGAAGCTACCTTTCAGCTCAAGACCTGTGTGTGCGTGTGTGTGTGTGTGTGTACATGTGTGTGTGTACATGTGTGAACAGGCACCTGCAAATCAGCAAAGTGGATGTATATTCAATTAAGCCAGGACCTGAAAAGGGGCAGGGAAGTTTCTGATACACTCTCCTCTCCCTCCCTCCCTCCCTTAGGCTAAGGGCATACTGTGCTCTGCACAAGGTTTCCTGGGAGTGATAGTTGACTCGGCAGGCGTACACCTCACCTGGGTGGAGTCATTATATAGTTTAAAGCAGCAGTTGTCAACCAGGATCAGTTTGCCCCTTAGGGGACATTTGGCAGTGTCTTGAGTTCTTAAGTGTCGAGACCTGGAGGGGAAGGTAGTACTACTGCCATCTAGTGAATAGAGGCCAGGGATGCTGCTAGACATTCTATAATGCACAGCATATTCCCCCACAACAAAGAATTACTTGCCGAGAAATGTCAGTAGTTCTGAGGTTGAGAAACCAGTTTAAAGTGTACAGGTGTGTGTCATATGATTGAGCTAGGGTTCTGTGCTAGAAGTTGTTTTGCCTGCAAACATCAGAAACCCGATCTATTTAAGTACAAAGGGAAATGTAAAGGAAAGCAGAAGAATCTCTGAACAGCCAAACCAAGGAAAGAACAGAAACCAACCAGCTCCTAGAATCTCATTGGAAGAGTTCTTGGACCTTCATCTTTTTTTTTTTTTCTTTTTTCTTTTTTTTTTTTGAGATGGAGTTTCGCTCTTGTTACCCAGGCTGTAGTGCAATGGCGCGATCTGGGCTCACTGCAACCTCCGCCTCCTGGATTCAGGCAATTCTCCTGCCTCAGCCTCCTGAGTAGCTGGGATTACAGGCATACGCCATGCCCAGCTAAATTTTTGCATTTTTAGTAGAGACAGGGTTTCACCATGTTGACCGGGATGGTCTCGATCTCTTGACCTCGTGATCCACCCGCCTTGGCCTCCCAAAGTGCTGGGAATACAGGCGTCAGCCACCGCGCCCGGCCCCTGGACCTTCATCTTAAAGTAGCATTAGGGTTTTTTACCTTAGCACCATTGACATT